TGATGTACATGTGGCTTTATCTTGCTTGGGATATATTTTGCTTCCTAAATCTGGGACCCCAAGGTCTTCCATCAATTCTGGAAAATTACCAGCTTCTTTGAATACTGCTGCTCCCCAGTTCTCTCCATCCTCAACTGCGAACATGTAAAATTCTTTAAACTCTTTCATGTTTCCCATCTTCTTGTGCTGTACTGTGGGGAATTTTTTCCATTTGTCTCCTAGTTTCCGAATCTTCTGTTGCTGTGACTAATCTTCAGTTTCCTTGGAAGAAAGGCCTAGTGACCTATGTCCAAAAAACCAGCCACTGAAAATCCTACAGAGTGGTTTTACTCTGACACATAAGGGGTAGCCGTGAGTCAGAGTTGACTCAGCGGCAGCTGGTAATCTGCAATATAACTTGTTCCCTGAGATGTCTAGAAGTTATTTGGCTCCTTTTCAAGGTTCTAGCCTTTCTTGTATTTGAAACCATGTTTATTTTCTTGATCCCATCCTTTATTTCTTTAAAGTCACCTAAAATTCTTAGGGAAGGATGCTAATTCCAAGCTTACTTCTACTCACCATCAGTCATGGTGATTTTGTTTCCAAATGTGGATCCTAAATTCTGGATTTGGTTGAGTTTTGTATCGTGAGTTCATATTCCTGGGAGGCCTCCAGGGTCAAGGTGTGCTCTCCTAGTTACGTCCATCCAGAAATGACTTGCGTTTCCTTCTGTCAGGCCCCACCAGGCTGGATAACTGAAGTTCACTAGCTTGCACTGTCAACTCCAGTCCCATGCAGCACTCCTCACTCAGGCTAAGACTGGTCCTTGGCGTCTTACACTCTCCTGTTGTGGGCTGATTTTTCCTTTCTAGTCTGTGCTTTCACTGCAGGAAGCTCTGGGTTCCAGATCCCCATCTTATAGATGTCTAAGCCTTGTCTCCTGTTAAGATCAAAGCTTCAATTATCGGGCTTAAGAAATGTCACAAGACAGCTTCAGCTTACCGTACAGTCAGTGATTCAGTCTTGGCCTACCTGGAATTACAGGATGGGCAGCTGCAGGCGGACAGCAGAGCCGTGTCTGGGGGAGAGGTTGCTGACTCTGTGCTGCAAAGCTTCTCCTTCGTGAACACCCCACTCCAGGTGGGTGCCTCCAGCCCAGAACTGCTCAGTGCAGCAGTGGGTCTGCTGCGGCACCTGCAAGCACACGGCTACGGATGACGAGAAGGAACTGTTCCACGGAAGGTGCAAAATAATGGGAACCAAGGCTGAGCTGGGATGGATTCTGCTCAGAAGTACGAAGCAGGGCTGTGTCATTTAATATAATACACTGCTTCCAACGGAATTTTAAAAAATAAACTTGGAGTAGCAGGAAATACACCTAGAAAAATACAACGTAGTCGAACGTCCGTTCAAGTTCACCTTTCAAAGTCCTATTGAAAACTATTTCCTTCTTGTGTGATCCCTTCCCAGAGCCCATAGGCAGCATGTCATCCATGGAAGTGAACGTGGACATGTTGGAGCAGATGGACCTGATGGACGTATCAGACCAGGAGGCCCTCGACGTCTTTCTGAACGCGGCTGGAGAAGACAACGCCGCGCTGTCCCCCGTGTCAGGTAGGGTGGTAACCCACATACACTTCATCCCTCCACAGAGGGGACAGCGTGACGTGACCAGGGACAGCGTAAGCCCAGTCAACGTCTTATTCCACTAACTCGTATTTTCCATTTATCTGTGTTTAAAAAAACAAACCCATTTCCACACACCTGTGTTTGGCTTAGCCGTAGGGAGGCAAAGAAACACTGGTCTGTTCAGTCGGGAATTTTCAGGGCGTCACCTGAGCACCTTCAGAGAACAGGGAAGCTTCTTAACTCATGTTTTACCTCCTTCTCAAATTATTCTGAGGCGACTTTTTCTGGTGATCTTAAGGACTGGAAATTTTGGCAGACTGGGTCTCTCCTGTGAGGCACCCACTCTTTGCCCCTGGCTTAAGCATGAAATGTCCCCCCTTTTGTCCAGCAGATACTGACTTGAGTGTCTGCTGTGGGATAGGCCACGGGTTCAGCACTGAGACTATATTTTTAAAAATGTAATCGCACCCCAAAATGTCATTTCACAAAATGGAGTGTTCATCAGACACTTACTGAGGCACCAGATGTATACCTGGGCTCTCTACAGTTTAGATCTCAGCCCTGTCCCTGTGGGTGGGTCTTTATATCAGCATTACAAAGACAGCTCTGCCATGTTTTCTACATACAGAAGCTGGAGAGTAAGGCTGGCTTGGAAAGCGCCCAACAAAGGCTGTGGCACCTTAACACAAAGTCCTGACACCCTAAATGCACCACTAGGTTAAGAAAAGCCTTAGGGTCTGCGAGGAACAAGACAGCAGCCAGCCGTGGTGCCCACGGTCACCTCTCAGACCCGCTGGGAGCACTGGGCTGTCTCTGGGAGCCTGCCTTCATGCGGGTCTCCACTTCCTCTGAGGTCAAACTCCTGAGGTTTTCGTTAACTTGTGATCTTTAACCTCTAGATAAAAAGCTACATCCTCCTCTTCCAGCAAATCTAAGGATGGTGGTGTCCCGGGAAGACGAGGGCTGGGATGCATTTGCCCTTCTGTCCAGGAAATCCTGAACACGGGGAACGGGGGTTAATGCTCCCTCCAGGTCGGACCGTGACTCTATAACCTACCTGCAGAGAGCTTATTCAGTTCCCGTGAAATTGGAAAACCGCTAAAAGGTCATTGGTTTCTCTGAACTGTACTTGAAAGGATAAAGAAATCTAGATTTATCCAGGTTCCATGGAATGCTCCGCAAAGACCCACGGTACCTGCCCTGTGGCTGTTAGCGACCGTTCTGCAGGTTGTACTTTTAAAGGACGGTGATCTCTCCTGAGGGCACGGGGGTCATCCATCGCTCTACAGACCCCAGGTCCTCAGAACAGAAAGCTTTATGGCCCCTTTATTCTGTGCGTTCAGTGGCAATTCTAAATTACAATAATTTTCTGACAGGCTTTCTCCCCACCTTATTTACAGGGCCCGAATCCAGTACATGTCAGAATGAGATTACTCTTCAGGTTCCACATCCCTCCCGCTCACGAGCTAGGCCGCCTTCGTTGTCCTCTCCCTGTCCCGACTCTGCCCCCCAGGACCCCAGTGACAGTGGGGAGTCACCGCTGGTGCAGTCTGACGAGGAGGACGTCCAGGTGGACACTGCCCTGGCTACCGTGAACATCGACGGGAAGGCCACCTCAGATGTTACTGATGACAGTGACGCCTAAGTGAGAACATTCTTACCCTCTGACCCCTCTGAATGGAGTCTCCAGCTGTGCGCAGACCTCAGCCTCTAAAGTCAGGTGGTTTTATGGAGGTTCTTGATTTCTACAACATTGCCAGTAATGTGTGAGAGACTGAAGTACAGCTAACAATAAAGTTTGAGGAATTTAAGCATTAAAATGAGAGTATGTAGCCAGTTTGTTTGTTATATGAAGGAAGGCTTCCAAGTCCATCTATCTGCGAAGCCAGCGTACCCACCCGAGTCGCAGGGTGCGGCAGAGGCTGGGGTCAGCGAGGGCCATCTGGCCTGAGCTGGCAGTCCACACCTGCGTAGTCTTGATAAAAAAGTGAGTGGCCTGCCCCTTACAGACAGAAAATTCTACTTTTTTCTTTGAAGTGTAATGGACTGTAGTCAAACTCAGCTCTAACAAAGCCTGGTATTTCATCTGATGGTTACAAATCAACAGGCCGGGAACAGGTGGGGCCCAAAGGAGCAGAGGCGAGGCTGTGCCCGGAACAAGACTGACTGACTGGTAGCCTGTAGGAAAGCTGGGCCCGTGGCGCGGGTTCCTTCCACCATCACTCCTGGCCCAGTCCTCAGTGCAGGGTGGTCCTAGAAGGGCAGAGGGGGACAGCGCGGGAGAGGGAGGGGGGCTGCAGTTGTTTGGTCTTGCTCAGAAGGGATTCAAACGACTTGAATCCAGGTAGAAACCCGAGTGAGCAAGACAAGACGCGTGGTATGCTCCGCTCCCGGGCCGACGGGGAGGAGGACGCTCGGCTGTCTGATCACGAGAGAAAGGGCTCGTTTCATTCACTCATCTTCACAAGACAGACAAATGTCCAAAAAAGTTTGTGTTTTTATTATTAAACCTTGTAGTACAAACCTGAAAAGTAAACAAAAAACTGGCAATAAACAACATGAAGGTCCTTCCTCACGAGGAGGAGGCAGAGCAGTACTAATAAATTAAACGTCAAACCGTGAGCCAGAGGCAGTTTACTGTCCAAAAGAGGGACGTATACAGCAAGGCCATAAAAACCGGACAACCACATTGGAAAACACTTGACTCTGTTCGTGTCATCGTTAAATATTCCAAAACCAGTTCAGTCTTCGCAACACCAACCAAGAAAGCGCATCACGGGACTCTCCTGAGGTCGCCACGGGCAAGCTCAGTGCAGCGTGGGCGCTACAGGACTGACGGGTTCAATTATGAAACAAAGAACAGTTTGTGAAAACATTTTCCCTTTTTTATTCCACACGTACTGTACACACAGCCGGAGAAGGGCGACAGCTACTCCATATTATTTGTGGTGGTGTCAGTGATGTAAGCAGCACTTAGAACGTTACAAGAAAAACCCTGTAAGCATCCAATCCAACCGATGAAGAAACGGAAATGTAAGGCTTTTCTTCATCTTGTCCTTCTGCCCCCTCCCCGCCCCTACCAAGAAAAGGCTCAAGTATTTAAAACAATTTACAGGCATATGTACAAAAGAGATGGGTTTTTTTTTTTTCTTTCTCCTTTTTGTTACAACATGAAGAGAAAAAAAATAGACAAGATGAGCGCAAATGAATTTTCACATTCAAAACGAACGGCAGACCTCCTAGTGGCTCCAAACGTGACCAGAAATGAAACAGACCCCAAAAGAAAGATTAATGCTGACCGACAGTGGGAGACAACAGCTGGGAGATGGAATGTTAGGATCAAGATTGCACATCAGGACAAAGAAGCGCCACTGGCTTCTATCACTTTTTTCCTTTTTTTTTTTTTCTTTTTTTTCCCCTTAAGGATGCTATTGAAGGGTTTTTTTGATAAAGTAGCCAACAGCACCAAAAAATAACAGAATGGATTTCCTAATGAAATCAGGCACAGTTTTCCCTCACGTGACCCCTCCAAGGCAGGCAGTCTTCTCCTTAAACAGATGCATAGTGATGTGCTGGTAACGAGAACCTAGTCACGCGAGTCTCCTCCTTTTGCCCATGGTTAGCAAATGCCCGCCTTCAGCTGCCATAACCGCCCAGAACGGGGGTTCTCCGGTTTTAAAAACTACAAACTCATCTTGCACATGACGGAAGAAAAGACAGCCAAAGTAAAGCCATTTCTTTTCAAGTTTTGTGTGTGTATGTCTCCTATCCCTTGTCCTCTCTAGAAAAATCTGCTCACATGACTGATGGTTTTATAATTTGTTCTTCAAACTTCACCCTCTTCAAAAACGGGTTAAAAAAGCCTTTTATCCCCCCAACAGTTTAAAAAAAAAAAAAAAGGAAAGAAAACAAAAAAGGCTTGCTTGCCAGCCATCGGGGCGATACAAATTAACACAGCCCCTCACGGGTTTGAAAACAGTGAGTATACTGCAGTTTCCAAAATCCGACTGCAGTATCTAGGATTCTAAGTACAAAAAAAAGTTCAACAGTTTAATGCTAAAACAAAATTAGTTCTCTAAAACCAGAAGAAAATCTTCTTTAGAGCTAGTGCAAAGACAGCTTGTATCCTACAGCGAGTACTCCAAACTAGAATATAATAATTACCAAAAAATATATATAAACGGACAGAGTGTTGGCATCTTCACGACGAGCTGGGAGCACTTTTGGATGAGCTGGACGACAGCCGGGAGGACAGTACGTCCACGGTCGCTCGCTTCCGGGGCCCTCTTTTTGGCGTGGGTTTACTGAGACAGTTCTCTATGCTGCCGTTCTTACTGGACACTTTGCCACAGATCTGATTGACCAGGCTGACGATCTGCTCCTGTTCAGGGGTGAGAGAAGACACAGAATTAACACGGGGACAAGAGGGAGGAGGCCGGGCCTCCGTCCAGTCATGGGGGCGCTCCCCTCCAGGAGAGCAAGGGGCTCTACAAGCCGTCCCCCAGCACGCGGCGGGCTCGAGAACAAGGACACCTTGTCAGGGAGACCCGCCTGGCGAGGGTGAGGGGACAGTACCTCCTAGAGGGTCGTGAGGATTAAAAGTTCAACACACTAGAAGTGTGTTCTTCAGAACCGCATTCAGACGTGCGCTCACAGGTGTGCATGCCTCCCACCACAGGACCAGATTCACACCACGGAGATGGGCACCCACATCATCAACAGGTCTGATCCCACCACCATACAGCAAGTCCAGTTGCCTCATCCTCATAACCACCGTGACAATGGTGTCACCATGGGCGACCCTCCCCTGCCCTGGAGCTGAAAGAGGTCCAGCAGCTCGCCCTGCTAGGCCCAGGCCAAGAGGGCAGGGTCGAGCTCCTGCTGCCTAGTGAGCCACTGAGCAGGGCCCAGTTCTCTTGAGTTCTACCCAGATGATCACAGAAATACCTGACAGCCACACACTCAAGCCCACTTAATCTCGCAAATAAATGCAAACACTTGTTTATAAATACCTCACTTGCCACCTTTCTTCACTAAAGAGGAAATAACACAACCAACAAAACAAGCATCCTTGTAATCCGCCCAAGAGAACCATTTACCTGTCGCTATCAAACACGTATTTGTGACTTTAACAACTCACCCTAGAACCATCCAGTGCTAAAAGAAAACACGGAAAAGCCTATCGTGCTGGCGCCTAACTCGGAACACACCTGGTGAGCACCTGCTCTGGACAGAACCACGGAGAGGTGAGCAGGAGGAGGAGACCGCTGGCCTTGGAGAGTCCCCTCTGAAGTGGGCACCAGAAGCCACGCAGGGAGTGCCTGTCACCCGAGCTCACCTGCCCGATGAGGGGCGGGGTCACGCATTCAGGCAGGTGTGTGTACAGGTGCCAGGGCAGCTTGGCGCATTGATGGAAAACACGTGAGTGAAGATTTAAAGAGGAGCTTGCTCCGAAAGCCAGCTACAAGTGGCTGCCGTGACCCTGGCAGCAGGAGGGGGCAGAAGCCACGCAGCCCTTCCTCCTGTCTGGTGAGGTCTCCTGCAGGCAGATGCTGCTCAAGGCTCCCACACTGAAGCCCACAGCCAGCTCACGGGCCGGCGGGCTGCATGTCGGAGGCAGACGTGTCCCATCTGCCCAGGCAGCCAAATGGCCATGGGGCCCAGTCCCCAGGAAAACCACACCCAAGGCCAGCGGCTCCTGTGCAGACAGTGCTGTTCAGCCCTGGTGCCCCAAAGGCGTGGGGAGAGCCCAGCACGTGTGGACACTGAAATTCAGAGGCCTGTGGGAGGCGGAGAGCCGCGGGGGTCCCTGGCAGCAGGATCCGGCAGGCTGTCCCCACTCACAGGCCCAGGACAGAGCAGGCTTGTCTGCTGCACTCACCAGGCTTAGAATCAGAGAGCCTGTGATCACACAAGCCATCTCTGAAGCCCCCACCCCAAAATACAGTTCAGCCTAAGAGGGAATTGATGAGTTTGCATTTACTAAAGTAAATCATGCCGTTAGCCAAGTAAGAGGCTTGTAAATACTTTCTCTTCCTTACTCATCAGAAACAATGGCTGAGCTGCAGGCTGACGGGCCCTACGTGTTATTAGTCAGGATTCTGCTTCCATCCAGATGCCTCGTTACAAGCCAAGCTGGCAGTGACTGCGGGACCCTACTCCGCGGAGAGCTTCAGCCGCGGCGAAGAGGCCCCCTTCAGCCTGAATCCGCCAACGCCAGAGCTGCTCTCCTCATGACAGGCTTTACTTTTACCCGTGTTCTGACATTCGCGGTTCATGTAGAGAAGTGGGATGGCACAATGGTTACTGCTGCTACTGAACACGCTCTTCTTCAAGGAACAAAGATGATGCAAATGGAGCTATTTCTAGCTTTCCAATCTTACAGTTTAGTCAAAGGCTGGTTATCAAGTCTGACCTGCCAGCTGGACCCACCTCTGTGCCACCCTTGCTGTACTGTCCCCTTCCTGGACCAGACCCTGTGGTGAGTGCAGGCTGAGCACCAGGCCTGCCCAGCGCTGCCGTGTGTCACAGCTGACACACACTCTGTGGGGACACCCGGGACCAGGGTGGGGGAGCCCCAGCTCTGAGCTGCCCTGTGCAGGCTGAGCGCCGGGCCCGCCCAGCTCGCAGGCAGGGGCGAGGCAGGGGTGGCACAGCATGTGTAGCACCGTAACCACTCTCTGGAAGACAGCGGCGGGGGGTCTTGAGGAAGGGCACCTTTCCTTGATCTTCAGGTCGGTGAGCAGCTGATTAGGAGGGGGTAACACTGGTGCCCACAGCTGCCTGAAGGGTGACAACCCAACGAAGACTCCAGGTCTCAGGTCACCAAGTGAGACCGCTCTCTGCGGGGGCCGAGCACGGCCCTCAGGGAACAGCCGTGTTCACCGACACACACTCACCACTTGGGATGAACACGCTGGAGTCAGCTCACTGAGACAAAGCAGGCACGTGCTTGCTGCCTGTGACACAGCTTTGGGGACAGGGCTGTCCCGAACATCCTGTGGGTGTTCACATCTGCTAAAGGAAGTGTTCTTGTCCCACCCGGGAGAACTAAATGGACCCTAAAGACGGAGGCACAGAAGGGGTTCTGAGGAAAGACTGACTTGCTGTGTGGAAAACGGAAAACGGAGCAGCCGAGCACTTAGAACGGGCTGGTCGGGGTCTGTCTGGAAAGCAGAAATCAACAGGCTTTGCTGACGGACTGCCGAGTGAGAGAGAAAGGTTCCGTGTTTTCACCAGGGCCTCCCTGAGCGAAGACAGAGACTGGGCCCTGAGGGATGGAGCTAGACGTCGAAAGCTGCCCCTGTGGCCCTCGACGGCTCAGCCCTCCTTTCAGAGCCTGCCACACGCTCAGAAGCTTCCAATGTGAGATTAGACAGCGAGCTTCTAGGAGGCAGGAGGACACTGAGCTGCTCTGTGCATCGTTACCGGGTTCTGAGAAAAAACAGCAGGGTAAACCTACTGTGTGTGTGCGTGCGCGTGCCATGATTCCACAGGGGTAACAGACTCGGGCACCACGACCCAGCGGGAACGGGGACTGTCAGGCGTGTGTATCTGAGGCTCCTGCTGGTTCACTACATACTGATCCCCCCGTAACTTCTGACCCAAAATGCCCTCCCAAGCCCTGTTAGCTACACATTCAGCCGAAGTCCTACTAATACACAAGTACACATAGAGCCTGGTTAGTCGTGGCCCAGGAAAAGGGACTAGTCAACTCAGTCCTTTACGTCGGAGGCTGTGCGTGGCTGCAGCCAGGGAGCAGACAGCTGTACTGTGTTGTCCGCTGGCACGGTCCTCAGGGACCCTGAGTCGGAAGCTTCTCTGTGAGAAACACTGAGGCAGGTTTCGAAGCCTGCAGCCTGGAGAGCAGTGTTCCTGGTGATGTCTCCGCAAGGTGGTCTCAGGTGCCCCCAGCATCTCCCTGTGTCCAGAGGGCCCACAGCTGGTGGGAAGGGCAGCAAAGCCTGGGCTGCGCCTTCATGCTGGGCCCCCGTGAGGATGAGCACGGGCCGCCATGCTCCCTCTCCATCGGCCCAGCCCCTGCGGCCAGTCAGCGTGGGTGCTGTGGAAACCACCCACCCAGGCACTGAAACAATCCCAGGTAAATTAAAGCCCAGGCAGCCAGTCTCGTGGCCTGACACGCTTCGAGCTCGGGGGTGGACAAGCAGGGCTGCCAGGGCTCCCTGCCGAGAGGTGCCCCTGGTGCACAGGACCGGGAGGGCCCCAGTGACCAGGGAAGTGGTGACTGGTGAGGGTGTTGTTATAAAACCCAAAGCTCGTCGGATGCCGTTGGGCTGAGAAGGCTGCAGAGGGAGCTACACAGCCAACTTCGGTCCTTGAGGCAACAACGCGGCGTTCTCTGACAGCAACAAGGACGGTAGCCAAGCGGCCCTGCCTCTGCACTTCACACGGCTCTTCCTGAGGGGCTGTGTGGTCCCAGTGCTCCCTGCGCTCCGCTCCAGCAGAGACCCCGGCAGAGAATGCTGGGAGAAGACTCTGAGTGCCGGGAGCAGCCTGACTCCCCAAAGAGGAAGTCCCCGCCCCCCACAGTCCCCCCACTGCTCAGGAGGCAACCAGGGGTTCCTGTTAGCTAAGTGAAAGGAGAACAGAATCTGGCTCATGATCTCCTGCTCATCAGCAAAAGAAACAGCAAACACATAGAACGTTCCTGAAAGTACACAGTCCGTGTCAGTTCCTGGGTCTCTCCAGGACAGACGAGAACCCGGTACCACTGAACAGCTGAGCCTGCCCAATTCCTCAGCACCTTCCCCTCATGTCAGGTTCTGGCTGGCCAGAAGGTGCCCAGGACTCTGTGGCCACAGAGGCTCAGCCACATGGAGCTTCTGAGGGGCAATGACAGGCTTGCTCTGCCACCCACGCAGCGAGGGCACACAGAGCCGCCACGTGAGGTGACACTGTCACCCGTACCCCAGTGTCCTGCCCATGCCCCTCCACCCGCGCAGTGTCCTCAACCCTCTGTGCCCCTCCACCCGTTCAGCGAGGGCACACAGAGCCGCCACATGAGGTGATGCTGTCACCCGTCCCCCTCAGCGTCCTCCTGCCCCTGTGCCCCTCCACCCACGCAGCGAGGTGACGCTGTCACCCGTCCCCCTCAGCGTCCTCCTGCCCCTGTGCCCCTCCACCCACGCAGCGAGGTGACGCTGTCACCCGTCCCCCTCAGCATCCTCCTGCCCCCGTGTCCCCCCACCGGGCATGCGGGACTTACCTCATCATAGCGGTACATCAGCTTCAGCCCTCGGCAGGACTTCTGCTTTTCCACGTGGCGCAGCGCACACTCCAGGCAGAACACGACGTTTTCGTTCTCCTGGACGACCTGAGGGGGGAGAAGGAACCCCGGGATTGGAAAGTGATTCCAACCGCTGCAGCGTGGGAGACGCTCTGGACTCTGAGGGGCGATCCCAGAACGGGGCTGGAGTGAGGGCCAGGGAGGGGCTGCCAGGCCGTGAAACAAACACGCTGGCTACTGACTGAAGAAACAAACCGTGACAGGCGGGACCAGGGTCTCCATCTAGGGAAAGAGACAACTGAAAACCCTTCCCCGTCCACCTCCTAACGGGACACCTCACCCCTCCAGGTGCAGCTTCCTGTGAGAGGTTCTAGTCACTGTGTGTGAGCTGAGCTGTTGAGTTCTGAGGACTTTGGAGATTTTTTTGTTGTTCAAAAACGACGAGGGTGAGAGCTGCAGGAATGGGTGCGACTGAGAAGGGGCGAGATGTGAGCACACACCCAGGGTCTCCAGCCGGGGTGCCAGTGACTCCATCCACACTCATCCTGAAGCTTCCACATCCCCAGACTTTCAGTCCTCCTCAACCAGACAGCCCCGCAGGAGCCCCCATGTCCCTGGGAGACCACCACAGAGCTCCTAGGTGCTGTATGAAAGGACCTTCCTGCCACCCATCCCAAGAAGACACAAGCAGTGAAGGGAGGGGATCCGATCCCCCGACCTCAGCATGGGGCCTCTGGGCCTGAGGGTGAGGGGAGGAAGAGAGTGGGCTCCTCACCCTACCCCCTGGGGCTGGCCTGTTGTAAATTCCATGAAGGACAAATAAAATTTGTGTTTTAACAAACAAGAGGCAAGTGGTTCTCAGGCCCTTTCCTGAAAGGATTTAGGACAAAGCAGAACTCCAGACCTGGGTTGTTGTCCTCAACGTTGCAAAGCAGAGAGCACAGCACACGCTACTAGGAAAGGTTGTATCAGACACACCACCTTCTAAAGACACTTGGGCACGAGGAGAGACTTACTAATAATCCAAGCAACAACACTAAAACCCCAGGGTTCACCTGACAATGTAGGACGTAAGTGTTATGAACGCTCGGACAGTGGGAAATGGCCTGGTCAAAGGTGACCGTTCTGGGAAAAGGCCCCACTTGAGTGCCCCAAGCCCCCAGGGGGTCAGGGCCATCCATGCACCAAGGTGTCTGTCACAGCACCCTCTATGCGTATGCAAAAGCTCTAACATGAGAGGAACGATCCAGAATTACGCAGCTTTGAAGATCTAGGGAAATGCCTGTGAGCTTTCTAAAAAGCATATAATTCAGCATGTTCTCAATTAGATCTATTAGAAAGGACTCGGCAGAAAACATAGAAAATGGGTGGCGTGATTAGTTTTTTATAATTTTCTGACCTTTCAAACGTTATACCCAGAGCATGTAACTCAAGGAGGGATAAACACACCGTCCCTCCTCCCTGCGGGGCAGACAGGTGTGCACCAGGGCCTGGAGGAGGTGTGCGTCAGTCACGTGGCGCACCCAGGTGTTGCTGGGAGGCTGTGCAGACCCGCCACTCACAAAGCGGAGCAAACCTGGGGGGCTCTCTGACACTCAGGGCTTTATCTACAACACGAGGCTTGCATGTTAGCGCCATGTTCCTATGACACAGTCTGCTTCACACGGAGCAGTGCCAGATGGCACCAGGAGGTGGCGAGGCCAGACCATGGGGGCCGTGTGCCAGGCTGTGGGGCGTGGCAGCAGTGGCCGCTCAGTGTGGGGCGGAAGAGTCCTAACCAGAGCACAGCATAAGGCGACCACACTACAGACAGCATACAACGCGGACTGCAAACACCAGTCCAGTCAGCCAGGCTACAGTGCTTCTCGGGCCCCGGGACTGGCGTGGGAGACAGGAGAAGCAATATGTACGAAATTAAGACCCTTGCAGCATCAGGGCCGTAGCAGACACTGGGCCAGGCAGATGGCCAAGAGGACACTGCTGGGGAAAGGACAGCCCTCAGGTGTCACAGGAGCACAGCAGACAGGCCCTGGGAGGGAGGCCAGGCGCCCTGCTAAAGGGAGAGGTTGGGAGAGGACGGGGAATGGAGGTTTAGCCAGGCGGAGCTGGATATGCCTGAAAAGCCCCAGAAAGCTGTGGTCAGAGATTGGAAGGCTAGAAATGGGAGAAGGCAGCATAGGAGAAGGGCTGGTTTTAACTAAAGACAGATTCTAGAGTCTTCACTGGCAATGAGGTTGGTTACACAGCTGAATGGGGAGAGAATTACAGGAGAAATAGAGCGAAGTACAGAAACGTGGACATTCCCATGCATCACAGGGGCGGGTGGAAGGGAGGTGCATCCGGGTTGCAGAGAGCAGAGATGGCTTCCGGGCAGGACACCTGCTCACCACGGGAGGGCAGCTGGACAAGGGGACGGAGAGAGATGCAGAGCGTGTGAAGATAAGGTGTGGACAGGCCCAGGCAGGAAGACGATGACGCAGGGAAGGAGAGAAACTGAGCAGGAGCCCCGGATGACAGCGGGGTGAGGTGGGCTGAGCCGGAGAGGCTCCTCGTGGGAGGGAGCCTCCACATGCGGGAGGCATATGGCAGGGAGGAGACCACCCTGACCACACCTGCGTTTCAGATTTGCTCTCCGACCCCCACAGTGACTGCGACATGGGCACCGAGGATGAGGACACTTCGAAGTCCGTCCAGGCTGGGGAACCTGCCTGAGGTCTGCCAGTGGGTTCTGGAGATGGGACTTAAACTGGACTCCCGTAAAGGCAGGGCCACCCAAACTCCCTGGGAGCCAGGCGGGCACTCACCATGGAAAGGTAGCATAAGTGTTGGCAGATCTGACAGCGCCTCTCCGACGTCTCTAACTGTAACCATTTTCGAGGCTTTTTCTTCCCATCCGCCACGGTGCTGCTGCTGTCGTGACTGCCGTAGCGGGCGGAGGAGTGGAGGCCGGCCTCGAACAGCTGTCTCCGCTGCCGCAGCTCCGTATCCCTGTGCAGACAAAAGGGCCGGGGCGTCAGGCAGCTCCGCACACGGTGCTGGCACCACACAGCAGCCTGGCCGGGCCCTCTCATCTGCGGAAGGGACCTCTCAGCCTCCGGATGCCAACGCTGCCCTCCGAGGATGCCCCTCTCCCCGCAGGGAGGCGCAGCAAGACCTCCTTCCCAAGGTCCCCTGCAAACACGTCCTTAGTCCGAAGGCTTC